AACAAGGTGGGCTCCCCATTCCTTGGATGGTGTAATGTCCTGGATCACACAGGCCACGCGCCGCAGTAGATCGCGAGGGTCATTTGCGGATAGGATGCTCATGTGAAGAATCCCAGGCCTTCAGCTTGGACTACATCCACAGCCCCGTGGCTACAGGTCCCCCTGTGAGGCCTTCAGTGTCATGACATGGGGCTCAAAAGCCCCATCTACCAGCCGTGATGACAGTATGTGCCCCTAAAACCAAAGGGATGACTCTATTAAAGAGGGTCCCCATATTCTGAGCTTTGTATTCCAGTCACACCCACCTCTCAGGTGAACTCTTAGAGCTTCAACCCTAAGCAGCCAGGCATTAACATATCCATTGAGCTCAGGCTTGAGATGCTAATTCCGTAGATTGAGATGCTGAAGAGCTGAGAGCGCTGCAGTCTCTCAGTTCTGGGGCTCCGAGTCTTTCTGTCACCTGAGTTCTGCACCAAAGACAGCGCAGTAGACATCCAGGTCTGAGGAATCGGTGAGGGTGGGCATCCAGGGCATCAGTGTGCTCTACAGCCTGGGTGACTCCCCGCAGTGAACTCTGGGGTCCCCATACCCGGCCAGCGGGCGTCTGTACAGGTGTATTCAGCTACAGGTGCGCCCTGTGCCTGCGCACGGCTGGGAGTCCGATCCCAGCACGGCGCTCTAGGATCAGGGGGTAGGGCCTTCCCACGAGACCTCCAGCAGGAACGGGGGGCGTGGTGCTACCTTGCCTGGCATATGAGTATTTGTGGAGTCTTCCCCTCTGGTCTTGCGCTCATAAACCAGCAAGTCTGTCTCACTCCTGGAATAGCGAGGTCAATTTTAGGTGGCGACGGACGTGGTCGCGAGGCGGCACTGCTTAGGCTGGGGCTCGCCCGTGGCCACTTTCCAGGTCACCACACAACGCGCCACAGTGGTTCACGAGAGTCAGCGCGGAATAGGATGCTCATGTGAGCCATCCCATCATACTCACCCTGGGGAGCACTGTTTATGTAGGGGCAATGAGAGGAAATACTTGGGGAACAATGTGGGGTCTACATTCCTTGGATTATAGGGATATTGGCTCAGACCCATCCCACGCCGACTTTGGTGGGCACAGGAGCCTGGGTGCTGCCTTGCCTAGCGCCTGTGTGTTTCCGGAGTCTTTCCCTTCAACCTCGAGCTCTGAAAGCAAGTCTGTCTGAACCGCCGGGATGGCGCAGTCGGTTGTGGGTGTGGACCGGGAAGTGGCCACGAGGCGGCAGCACAGGCTGACGCATCACGGCTCACAGGCTGCCCACGCTGGGGTTCGCCCGTGGCAATGTCCCGGATCACACAGACCGCGTGCCCCGGTGGATCACGAGGATTATCGGGGATAGCATGCTCTTGCGAGCCACCCCATCTGATTCACCCCAGGGTGCACTATTGAAAGGGGGCAATGACAAGAAATACTGGGGAGCAATGAGGGGTCTCCATTCCCTATACACCAGGGATATCGGCTCACAGGGAGACCCATCCCACACTGTCTTTGGTGGACACAGGGGCCCGCATGCTACCTCGCCTAGCGCATGGGTGTTTCCGGAGTCTTCCCCATCAGTCCTGACCTCCGAAACAGGGATGGGGCAGAGTCGGTTGTGGGTATGGAGAAGGAAGTGGCTGCCACGCCGCAGCACAGATTCACACGTCATAGCTCAGAGGCTGCCTAGGCTGGGGTTTGCCGGCCGCAACGTCCCGGATCACCCACGCTACACGATGCAGGGTTCACAAGGGTTATCGGGGAATAGGACACTTTTGTGCGGTACCCCATCTGATTCACCCCGGGGTGCACTGTAGAAGGGGAGGAATGAGAGGGTATACCCGGGGAACAATGCTGGGTCCCCATTCCTTGGACTGTAAGGGCATCGGCTCAGAGGAAGACCCATCCCATACGGTCTTTCGTGGACACAGGAGCCTGGGTGCTCCCTTGCCTAGCGCATGTGTATTTTTGGAGTCTTCCCCTTGGATCTTGAGCTCTGAAAGCACCAAGTCTGTCTGACTGCCGGGATGGCACAGTCGGTTGTTAGTATGGAGAAGGAAGTGGCCATGAGACGGCAGCACAGACTCACGCATCACGGCTGACGGGCTTCCCACGCCGGGGTTCGCCCGAGGCAATGTCCCGATTCACACAGGCCACACGCCACAGTGGATCACCAGGGTCATTTGCGGATAGGGTGTTCATGTGAACCACCCCAGGCCTTCAGCTTGGGCCATATCCACAGCCCCGAGGATAGTGGTCCCCCTGTGAGGCCTTCAGGGTCATGGCATGGGACTCTAGCCCCAACTACCAGGCGTGATGACGGTATGTGCCCCTAAAATCAGAGCGATGAGCACACCAATGACAGCCCCCAAATTCTGAGCCTTGTATTCTACTGACACCTGCCTCCCAAGGGAACTCTTAGAGCTTCAACCCTAGGCAGCCAGGCATTAACATTTCCATTGAGCTCAGGTTTGAGATGCTAATTCCGTAGATTGAGATGCTAAAGAGCTGAGAGTTCTGCTGCCTCTCAGTTCTGGAACCAACGTGAGCACAGTAGACACCCAGGTCTGAGGATTCAGTAAAGGTGGGCATTGATGGCCTCAGTGTGCTGTACAGCCTGGGTGACTCCCCGCATTGAGCAATGGGGTCGCCATACCTGGCCAGCGTGTGTGCGTACAGGTATATTTGCTTACAGGTGCGCCCTATGCCAGCGCAAAGCTGGGAGTCCAATTCCAGGACAGCGCTCTAGGATCAGGGCTAGACCGTTCCCACAAGACCTCCAGCATGCACAGGTGGCGTAGGCAGCCCCCCTGTGACTGGCATATGAATATTTCTGGTGTTCCCTTTTGGTCTTGGGCTCAGAAACCAACAAGTCTGTCTCACTACTGAAATAGCACAGTCAATTGTGGGTGTGGCGATGGATGTGGCCGCGAGGCGGCAATGCAGACACACACATCACAGCTTGGCGGCTGCCTAAGGCTGGGGTCCGCCGGCCGCAACGTCCCGGATCACCCATGCCACATGCCGCAGGGTTCACGAGGGTTATCGGGGAATAGGACGCTTTTGTACGCGGTACCCCATCTGATTCATCCCGGGGTGCACTGTTTAAGGGGTGCAATGAGAGGAAATACCTGAGGAACAATGCCGGGTCCCCATTCCTTGGACCACAGGGATATTGGCTCACAGGGAGACCCATCCCATATGGTCTTTCACAGATGCAGGAGCCTGAGTGCTCCCTTGCCTAGCGCATGTGTATTTCTGGAGTCTTCCCCTTGGATCTTGAGCTCTGAAAGCACCAAGTCCGTCTGACCGCCGGGATGGCGCAGTCGGTTGTGAGTATGGAGAAGGAAGCAGCCGCGAGGCGGCAGCACAGACTCACAGATCACGGCTGACGGGCTGCCCACGCAGGGGTTCGCCCGCGACAACGTCCCGAATCACACAGACCACACGCCGCAAGGTTCACGAGGGTTATCGGGGGGATAGCCCCTCATTTGAGCCACCCCATCTGATTCACCCCAGGGTGCACTGTTGAAAGGAGGGCAATGAGAGGATAAAGTGGGAAACAATGAGGGGTCCCCATTCCTTATATGATACAGTTATCAACTCAGAGGGAGACCCATCACACACGGTCTTTGGTCGACCGAGGATCCTGGGTGCTCCCTTGCCTAGCAATGTGTATTTCTAGAGTGTTCCCCTTCATACTTGGGCTCTGAAACCAGGGAGTCTGTCTGGCCGCCAGGATGGCGCGGGCAGTTGTGAGCGGAGAAGGGAGTGGCCACGAGGCGGCAGCACAGGCTCACGCATCAGCGCTCACCGCAGCCCACGATGGGGTTCGCCCGCGGCAACGTCCCGGATCACCCAGGCCCTGCGCCGCAGCGGATCACGAGAGGGTCATTTGCAGATAGGATGCACGTGTGAACAACCCCAAGCCTTCGGCTTTGGCCATATCCACAGCCCCATGGCCACGGGTCCCCCTGTGAGACCTTTAGTGTCTTGTCGTGGGACCCAAGTCCCATCTACCAGGTGTGATGACAGTATGTACCCCTAAAACCAGAGCAATGACTCCATCAAGGAGGGCCTCAAATTCTCAGCCTTGTATTCCAGTCACACGTGCCTCCAAGGTGAACTCTTAGAGCTTCAACCCTAAGCATCCAGGCATTAACATTTCCCTGGAGCTCAGGTTTGAGATGCTAATTCTGTAGATTGAGATGCTAAAGAGCTGTGAGGGCTGTTACCTCTCAGTTCTGTGGCTGAGAATCTTTTCCTCACCCTAGTTTCGGAACCACCTGGAGCACTGTAGACACCCAGGTCTGAGGGATCAGTGAGGGTGGGCATCAACGGGGTCAGTGTGGTCTACAGCCTGGGTGACTCCCCGCACTGAGCTCTGGGGTCACCATACCTGGCCAGCGTGTGTACGTAGAGGTATATTCACCTACAGGTGCGCCCTGTGCCTGCGCAAGGCTGCAAGTCCAGCACAGCGCTATAGGATCGGGAGTAGAGCATTCCCACAAGACCTCCAGCAGGACAGAGGGCCTGGGTGCTACCTTTCCTGGCATATGAATATTTGTGGAGTCTTCCCCTTCGGTCTTGGGCTCAGAAACCAGCAAGTCTGCCTCACTCTTGAAATAGCGCAGTCGGCTGAGGTTGTGGCGATGGACGTTGCCGCGAGGCGGCAGTGGAGACTCGCGCATCACAGCTTGGTGGCTGCTGAGGCTGAGTTCCACTGATGGCAAAAGGTGGGGGTGTACATGCATCTTAATTTCAAGGTTCACCCGTGACCACGTCTGAGGGTTTCATACAGTCACGCTGGGGTTCATCCACAACAGAGGCTGGGGGTGTCAAAGCTTAGCAGGCAGGCGCCTCGCTCTTCATGGTGGATCCACGGAGCAGAGGGTTTGCCCAAGACTCAGCCAGACCCTCTGCACGCCTCAGGCTCTACTTATGGCCAGGTCTGATGAGCTCTGGGTCCCTCCACCACGGGCTTCCAGCCATGCTCACGTGGTCCTCCCCCAACCGGTGCTGTGGCTTCGACCCCCTAGGTTTGGTGGGCAAACCCTTGGACCACGGGGCCCCCAAACCCCCTTTACAGAGGCCAAGGTGGTCACCCAAGAAACAGGATGGCCAGTGGAGTTCAAGGTCTGCGGTCTCCATTCCGTTTCAGAATGTGGTGCCCCAGGCGGGTAGGGGGAGGCAGGGAAAGGCAGGGCAGGGAGGCGGCTTGCAGTTGGTCGCCAGAGTACGCCCTTGAGTCATGGCACAGAGCCGCGTCCATGTCCAGACCACCAGAAAAGTAGCAGGGAGGGGGACCTGGGGTGCCTGAGCCAGCTATGGCACGTCCACCTGGTGGAAGCCGCCGTGGCCAGAGTGAGCTTGGTCAACTGGATGGACCTCGCGCTGACGGCAGGCACCGCACCTGCCGGTGGGGACGCAGACCCCCCAGGTCTCGGCGCTCCCCCTGACCCACTCAGCCCTGAATCCCCACCGTCCACCAACGGCACCCCAGGGGATGTTTCCCGTGGGCTCCCAGGCCCCTAGAGTAAACGCGAGGTCTCGGCCATGGCGGGTGGAGAAAGCGGCTCCGTGTCCCAAGTCCCCAGGGACCTCCAGCCGGGACCCCTGCCGCGGCCAACGTGCACACGCGGCACCCTCGGACGGGGAGCGGTCCGCTCAGTGCTCCCTGCCCGGAGCGGACGGCCTCGGAGCGTACAAGTCCCCGACCCGGAGGGAGACTTTGGGGTCAAAGCCAGGCCCCGTCCGAAGGGTGCCAGAGGAGGAGCGCGGGAGAGGGGGTGGGGGGGCTGTCTTTAGAGAATTCCCGGATGGGGTGAGAGGAACGTGGGCTGGAACGGTGCGGGGGTGGAGGTGGGCCCTGCGGGGGCCCAGGCAAGGTCCCCGCTCTGATTGGCTGGAGAGGCAGGGGCGGGAATTCGGGGCGGGGCCACCCCAGTTAGAAAAAGCCCGGGGCTAGAGCCGAAGTGCAGGGTGAGGGAGGGGGTGGGGGGGGGGTAACGGGGGAAACTGGGGAAACTGGGGAAACTGGGGAAACTGGGGAAACTGGGGAAGATGAAGTGCAGGAGAAGAGGTTGGAGGGGCCAAGGAGCACCTTGGCGGTCTAGGGTCTGGCAGGACTGGTGAGGGTGGAGGGCTGGCTCGGGCGGGCTGACTACTGGGAGCACATTCCCGGGGTCGTGGGCAACACCGGAGTGAGGGCCCGAGCCGGGCTTGGAGAGGAGGGAGCCAGACATTCATCCCGGTCACTTTTGGTTTCAGGACGTGGCGGCTGGTCGGACCAGGGGAGCTGCTGGGCAGGGTTTGGCCCCAGGGCTGGGCAGTGGAGGTGTAGCTGGCAGCAGTGGGCAGGTGAGGACCCCGCTCTGCCGGGCAGGTGAGTCCCCTTCCCCTCCCCGGGCCTCGCCTCACCGGCCTTCTGGAAGAAGGAGGCCTGGGGGAGCGGGGGCCGGGGGGAGGGAAGCGGCTGTCCTCCCGGCAGCAGCGAGGCAGGACGGAGGCAGGACGGTCAGCACAGGAGACATCTTCTCGGGGGTAGCCGAGACGGGGAGGGCTGGCGGGCGCGGGCCCGCCAGGCAGAAAGGGCACTTGGAGAGAGGCAGAGGCTGCCAGCACGTGGGTTGCATGCCAGCCCTGAGCCAGACAGGACGAGGCGGGGACAAGAGACGCAGGGGGTCCCCAGCCGCCACCACACCCACCGCAATTCAGGTAGCAGCAGGCACAAGAGTGGCTCCGGCAGAGCCTCCTGAGGCCCGTGCCGGGGCGCGAGGGCCGGAGAGCGGGAAAAGAAGGGCAGTGCCCAGGTACAAGGCAGGACGTCACCAGGAGGGAGCAGTGGCCCCGGCGTTGGGGCTCCAGAGATACCGCAGCAAGGAGGCTGCAGGGGCCCGGCCCGCGGGCACGCTGCCCCAGGAGGCACTGCGGCCCAGGGGCTGGCGCGGAGAGGGCGCACAGCGGGCTTGGCGACGCTGTATGCCCTCACCGCCCAGCCCCCGGGACTGGCGCGGCAGACAGTTCAGCACCCAGGGGAGTCAAGGGCACGGGGCGAGGCCAGACCAGGCGCGGCGGGCGGGGCGGGGTGAGTGAGTCTCAGGAGGGAGGCTGGGCGCAGGCAGGGGCGCAGAGCGGCAGCCAGGCGCAACCACGGGGGCGCTGGCCTCCGGAGCCCGTGGCCACGGCGGGCCTTGCGGGCGTAGACGGAGCGGTGATCGGCGCCCCGGTGCTTGGGCCGGAGACGAGGGTGAGTGTCCACCCGCCGCCCTCCATCCCCGCCAACGCCCCCCGCCCGCCCAGCCCAACCGGCGCCTCCCTTTTCTGAACCCCACAGCCAGGTCTCCGGCCGGGTGGACACTCGCCAGCCCCTGAAGGCCGGACAGCAGGCGGGCAGGCGCGCTGAGGGACGTGACGTGGTCCGGTGTGACGGCGAGGACAGGCGGGCTGCCGTCGGGCCTTCCCGGTGAGCGGGTCCCCTTCCTGGGGAGCAGGCGTGGCGCCCAGGCCCCGGCGAGCGGCCCCCTCACCGCGCCCCTGCTGTCCCCCGCAGGACACCCGGCTGGCACGCGGAACGCTGCGACACAGCGGGTCTCTGTCCCTTCACTTTCCCGAAGGAGTCTTCACTCTGCTGCTCTCTGGACCCCAGAACCCTCCACACGAAAGGTGAGCCCCTCCCCGCCCACCCCCCGTGCCCGCCTGGGTGGTGGGGACCGCAGGGGACGGGGCGGGGCCTCACAGGCATTGCCACCTGCAGAAATGGTGCTACCCAGCTCATGCCTGGGCCTTCCCATCCGGGACGTCTGCACGTCTGTCCAGCTCTGCAGGGAGACAGACAGGCTGCACACGGAACCACTACTCCACCCGACTCAGGAACCGGCTCCGAGGGTGAGCGTTCTGGGCGCCCCTTCCGGAAGCTTCCTGCCCCCCGCCCGCATCTCACGCCCCCTCTCTCACCCCCAGGTTGAGCTGAAGGAACAGGACCCGCAGACACCACCCAAGAGCAGCATCCGCGCCACCCCCAGCTTGGCAACTCCACCGCCGCGGCCACCCCCTGCCACGCGTGGGGACCGCGCCCGCCCGCCACGCCATCCCGGGGCGGGACGGCCCCCCACCTCCCTCTTCTGTCCTTCTTCCTCCTTTCCTTGTCTTCTGCTTTCTGCCTTTTCTGTCTTTCCTCTGCTTGAGAGGCGCCAGGCACCCGCGGCTCCGTCCCCGTCCCTCCCAAGCTCGATTTGCACTAAGTCACTTGCACTGGTTTGGAGCCGGCGGCGGCCTCGGGTCTCTCCGTGCGAGTGAGCGTGTGCGTGTGCGTGTGCGTGTGCGTGTGCGGCCCCCTTGGCCAGCAGCTCCGCGCCGGCGCCCGCCTGCCTGTCCACCTCTGTCTGGGGGCGCCCGGGCGCGGCCGTGTGCATGAGGCCTCACCCTCCCTCGCCTGGTCTGGAAGCTCCCCGACAACGGAGCACTCGACGACACCCCACACCCCCACCTTGCCCGTGCCCTTCCCCCGCCGGGGCCTCACCAGAAGCCCCGGCCTCATCAATAAATACAGTTACAGTCACCCGTCTGGTCTCTGGGACTCTGTCGTGCGCCGCGGGGAGGGCGGGGGGGGGGCACACATGAGCAGGGCGCAGGGCGGGGGAGGGGCGGGGTGCAGAGGTGCGGGGTTGGGGTGGGTGGGAGACACCGGACTCCAAGTGGGTTTTGGCACAGAGGGTCCTCAGGCAGGGGGGGCCCCAGGCTGGGGAGCAGGGGTGCAGGGCAGGCAGGGCTGGGTTTGGGGGGCAGGGGCTCCCTGCAGGGAGAGGCGGGGCCTGGGTGGCCAGGATCGGCCCTGGCAATGAGAGAGCAGTCATGCCCCGGAGCGCCCCTGTGCCCCACACTGCAGCCCGGGTTCTCCCTGGGCCCTGGACGGGGGCCCAAGACCCCTCGGCAGGCCCAGGCGATTGGCCTACAGACCTGACGGGAGTCAGTTGGAAATGTGGGTGCCCTGGGGCCCACAGCAAGGGGGGGTGGGGGTAGGCACCACATCTGGGGCAGGGCTGGCCACGGCAGCACCGGCAGCACCGGGAGGCCCACGGCGCCCGCCCCGCCCCGCCCCGTGCTGCACCCCGCCCCCTGCTGCACCCCGCCCCACTCTGGGGCTGGGGCCTCCCACCACTCTCTGCTGTGGGTGGGTGCAGGAGGGGGGTCACGGCAGGGGAGAGGGCCCCGGGGCGGGGGGTGGGGGGGGCTTCCAGTAGTTAGGGAGCCTAGCAGGGGAGGGAGGGGAGAGGGGTGGAGGGTAGTGCTGGTGAGGAGGCGGGGGTGAGGGGCAGAGGACATGCCGCGCAGGGGTGGCTCCTGAGAGGCACATGCAGCCCCGGGGTTTGGGGTCAGCGTCCCCACAGAAGACCGGGCTGGCCGGGTCCCCGAGGCTGGGCGGAAGCTGGGTGAACACAAGGAATCTCTTGGAAACGGGGCTGGGGTCCTGGCCTTCCATGCCCGCTCCCCACTCCTGGAAGGCTCCTCGGCCCCCCGGCAGAGGCCGGACAGACGTCAAGGAAAGCCCCCCTCCCCCAGCAGGCCCCATCGTCCTCGGTGGCCACAGGGGACCCCCTCCTGCCCACTCCCACCCAGCAGTGGGCCCTGGGGCCTGCCCGGGGACGCAGGGCTTCCAGGGACCTGGGAGTGTTGGCGTTGACACCAGGGTGGCACGGCTGGGTGCTGGCGTTTCTAGAAGCTCTCAGGGATGGCGCCCGCTGGGCCTCCCTGGGCCCTCCCGCCGTCTCGCGGAGGGTTCAAAGGACAGTGGTGGGGGGCCAGGCTGGGGCAGGGCCGCACCCACCTCCCGAGCCCCCACACAGGTTGACTTACCCAGTGTGCTTTGCGGCGGGATGCGGACCCCCCCCCCAATACACGCCGAGAGTTAGGGCTGCAAACGGCTTTTATTAGAAACACCGGCTCTTCTGCAGGTTTGCACGGGGGGCTCAGAAGAGGAAACAGGCTCCCTGAGGTGGCCCTCGGGTGCCACCGGTGGCCTAAGGGGTGCTGAGGGCGGCAGGGGCAGAGGGATACCCAGACACCTGCTCTGGGGGCCACAGCAGACCTTGCCGGTGTCAGCCGGAGCCAGGAGCAGGCCTCGGTGGACGCCACCTGGTTGGCACCAGCACTGTCACCTCCTGGTCACCTGGAGAGCCAGGTGTGTCGGGACTCAGGTCACGCCCACACTGCGGGCTCTCGGGTGCTCGGACTCGCACACTCTGGCCCTGGGGTTCCCACCTGGGGAGACCGGGGAGCATGGCGAGGGTGGGGGGGGGCCTCCTGTACCCGCTGGCGCCCGCTGTGGGGCCAGCCCTGCGTGGGGCGCCCCTGTGGACACGGGAGGGGTGCGGGGCCCGGGTCACCCCTGCTATCTGCGGTGGACGGTGTCCCAGAGCGGTTCCGGAGCCGGGGAGCTGGGAGCCCCTGGGTGCGGGAGGGGTCTGGGCCGGGCCCTGAGAGGGGGAGTGGGGGACCCTCAGCGGCAGACGGGTGCCTCGCCCGCGGCCGGGACTGGGAGCACAGAGGTGCCCGCCCCACCACCCCGCTGAGCCCCTGCATCTGAGTGGCCCGCGAGGTTGGGATGTGTTTGCCTTTGGCCCGGCCCAGCCCTGCTTTCTAGAAAAGGAGCTTAGGCAGGGCATCGGCGGGCTCCAGGCATCCTGCCACCCAGAGACCCCACGGGACAGTCCTGCAGCGAGTGAGTGCCCGGGGCCCAGGGGAGAGGGGCTGCCTGAGAAAGTGCCAGGAACCTGGGGACAGAGACGGGTTGGTGACCGGCCCCGGCCACGGCCCCACCCTGCAAGGCCCCCAGCGCTGAACCGCCGAGCCTTCGCACGGCCCCCACCCTGTTCTCTGGCGAGCTCAGGTCGAGCAAAAGCCAAACTGCCCGGCTGGGGAAGAGAGGACGGGGCCCAGGTGGGCGGTGGTGTTGGCGCCGGCGGGTCTTGGTTGCTGACCGGTTGACCACGCCCACCCGTGCTTACAGCCCCGCGGTGTCCGGAGATGCCCTGCGGGGCCGGTGTGGCCGTGGCCCCGCGTGGGTGCTGCATCCCCTGGAGCCACCCTCCCCTGGGCCTGGCTGTGTGTGGTTTCGTGTCTCGGCCTGAACTGAGTGGCCCAGGAGCACACGGCCTGCAGGGACTGGGGATCTGCTCTTGTTTTCAGGGGGGTGTGTGCACGCACATGCATGTGCATGCGTGTTCGTGTGCGCACGTATGTGCAGCGTGTGCACGTGTGTACATGTGTGCACGTGTGTGCATGTGTACACGCGTGTGAGATGTCCAGTCCCTGGGGACAGCTGGGGGTGGGAGAGTCAGGACACTTGTCACACCACTGAAAGAGGCAAAAAAAAATGCCAGCACTGCATAGGAAAGGTCGTCCCGTCAACAGGGCCCAGTGGCGTTTAGGGTCTGGGCACGGCACACCCGAGAAGTCGCAGATGAACAGGGCCGGGCCCTCCTCTCCCTGGGAGGACAAACAACGTCCCCTGCGCCCCCTGCACTGCCGAGCTGGGGGTGACATCGGAGCACTCAGAGCTGGCAGAGGGGGGACCCCGTCTGGGGCCCGAGGCCCTCTCAAGCTGGGGGACCTGGCGGGCTCAGCGTGCTGGTCCACACCGAGACCCGACCACGGCCGGGCTCTGGGAATGGTGGCCTCCAGCCTGCTCTTGTTTTCAGGGGTGTGTGTGCATGCACATGTATGTGCACGCATGTGTGTGCACGTGTGTGCAGTACGTGCATGTGTGAACATGTGTGTGCATGTGTGCACGCGTGTGCGTGTGAGATGCCCAGCTAGCCCAGGATAGCCCAGAGCCATAGTGCAGGCTGTGTAACTCCCTGAAAGGAGGAAACGGAAGGTTCTAGAAGGCACTGTGGTCAGCTCTGCTCTCCCCTAGGCCGCAGCGGCCTGTGCACAGGACACAGCCCAGCCTGCCTTGCATCCGCCTCCCTCTCCCCGCGCTGTGCTGGTCCCCTGCCCGCTCCTGGTGACACAGCTGGCCCCTCTCCAGGTGGAGGGGACCAGGGGCCCCTTCCTGGAAGCCCACCTACAGCCGCCTGCTGGGAAGCAGCCGCACCCCCCGCCCCGCTGCCGTTTCCTGCACGCAGGCACGGAGGGGCTGCTGGCCCCCGTCAGCACCGCGCCTCACATAAAGCAGACACTGTGCTCGTCCGTGGGGAGCCTGCCGCCACCCAGCCCCGCTGGGCCGTGCAGGCAGCCGGTCTGTGGGGAGCGGCTCGGGCTGGGCCTGGACCAGGAAACACACAGGGCGCCGGGCCCCGGAGGCGCAATGCCTCGTCCCAGAGCACGTGCCAGGCCCCGGGGTGTGAGCCACGCCGTGGGCGCAGGGCACGCTCCCGGAGGACCCAGAAGAAGGGCTGGCAGGCCCCCGCGGGGACGGGGACGGGCTTGGGTCCCACGCTTTGCAGAAACCGGGTGCCTGGACAGAAGGTCCAGGGGCAGACTCCGGGGGCTGGAGCCACGTGGGGGTGGGGGAAACTGGCCGGTGGGAAGAGAGGAGACGCTCCAGACCGGGTCCTGAAGCCCCCAGGGTGCGGCCCGGGGAGGGAGGAGGCGTGTGCAGACCGAGCTGGAGTCGCGGCCCCCGCGGTGAGGGACAGAGGAGGGAGGCGAGAACACGCGGGCTCCGGGACCCGAGTGCCGGCCTCCCCAGGGAGCCGCCTGCCCACGGGTGTCCAGCCACTGACCCCGGCAGGCTGCGGTCAGGGCCGGGAGCCTGGAGCAGAGAGGGGGCCTCGGACGCTGCCAGGAGAGACACCAATGGGGGGAGAGGTGACCCCAGGAAGCCGTGGCCACAGAGAAGGAGGAGCAGTGGCTGATGGGGCAGAGGGGCCGAGGCCAGGGCTCTGGGGGCCCCCCCGAGTCTGGGCAGAGCCCCTCCCTGCAGCCCCTGTCCCTGCAGCCAAGCGCTGTGCCCCTTGGGGTGGCCCAGACGTGCGGGGCCGGGGCTGGGGGGGAAGCAGGGCCCCATGGGACACGGACAAAGAGGGGCTTATTCGGGCGGCATTCAGGCCGTGCCACGTGCATGGCGGGGCCCACGGGGCGCAGAGGCACACGCACAGCCCTGCCGGGCTCCCCATTGGCTGCCGGTGACATCACCCCTGAGTCAACACCACGACGCCTGCAGGGTTTATGGAGCGGGACCCGCCCTGCCGGGCCTCACCCGCCCGGCCCCACACACTGGCCCACTGTTCGGGGGTCTGGGGCGGGCACGGCACCACGTGTCCTGGCGCTGCCTGCGCCTCTGCCCGCCCAAGTTCCCGGCACCTCGGCCGCCCCCCTGAGCAGCCCCCACGGGAGAGCTTGGGGGCCGCGGGCCGGGCCTCCCCCTCCGCCCCTCTGGAAGGGGGCCTGGGAGGCCCGTGGCCGGAGGGTGGTCCTGGGGCCTGTGGCACAGGCTCCTGGCTTCATGGGGCACAGAACTGCCTCAGAAAGGGGCTCGGGCCAGCTGAGAGCTCTGGGAGGGTGCTGGGGTCCCTTGCACACGGGGCACCCCTCGCAGACCCCTGAGAAGCCAGC